ACCATCACAAGATTTCAAACTAATCACTGGAGACTTGAATGCTAAAGTAGGCAAAAAGAAGGATCAAAAGCATTAGGAAGATTTGGATTAGGAACAAGAAGCAAAGTAGGAGAGCATCTGATAGAATTTTGTGAGACCAATAATCTGCTTCATTGCAAATACCTGCTTCATACAGCCAGATAGACTATACACCTGGACATCACCAGATGGTAAACACAAAAACCAGATAGACACATAATTGGAAGTAGAACATGGAGAACTCTATCCTTGTGGCCAAAACCAGACTAGGAGCTGATTGTGGCACAGACCACGAACTGCTCATAATAAAAACCAGAGTTAAACTGAAGAAGAAAGCAAAAACCATCATTATACCAAAATATGATCTGAATAACATTTCAGATGAATTCAAGGACAATGTAAGAAACAGTTTTAAACTCTGAGCATGAAGAACTGTGGACAGAGGTCAAAGACATAATTAAAGATGACTGCAAGAAAACACTAACAGTGGCCAAAAAGAAAGATAAGAAGCAATGGATGACAGATGAAACACTTCATGCAATAATATAATGAAAAAAAGCAAAAGCAAAGGGGGATAGGAACAAAGCCAGAAGTATGAACACAACTGTCCAACATCTGACACATAGGGATAAGCATAAATTCTACAATGACCAATGCAGAGAAATAGAAGACAACAACAAAAGAGAAGAATGAGAGAACTCTATAAAAAAGAAATCTGAGAAATTAAAGCCAGGTTCAAACAAAGGACAGGGATGCTCTATGGAGAAAAAAAGAACATAATACAGGGAGAAGAAGAAATAAAAAGATGCTGGAAGCAATACACAGAAGAGTTATACCTAACAGGGATGAGGGAATGAATGATATTTAGAATGAGGAGCCAAATCAAGATGAACCCCAAATTCTAAAAAGTGAAGTGGAATCTGCAAGAAAGGAAATGGCAATAAATAAATAAATTACTTGGACAGATGATATCCCAATTGAACTGCTATAGTGCCTACATACAGATCCAGCTTTAGTGCTAACTGAAATATGCCAACAAATATGGAAAGCAGTGGCCAACAGACTGGAAATGCTCACTATACATACTAATCCACAAGAAAGGAGATACAAAAGACTGCAGCAACTATAGAACAATAGCAGTGATCTCATATGCAAGCAAAATAATGCTCAAAATTATGCAGCATAGACTCCAACCATACATGGAGAGAGAAATTCCAGAGGTGGAAGCAGGATTCAGAAAAGGAAGGGGCACTAGGGACCACATTGCAAACATATGATGCCTAATGGAGCACACCAAAGAATTGGCATGTGTTTCATTGCAAAGCATTTGATTGTATAGATCACGAAAATCTATGGAATGCACTCAAAGACATGGGGGTGCTATTACATCTTATAGATAGAACAACAGGCCACTGTCAGAACAGAATTTGGGGAAACAGAGTGGTTCCCAATAGGCAAAGGGGTGGGGTCAGGCAAGGCTGCATCCTATCACCCTACTTGTTTAATTTATATGCTGAAAACATTATAAGAAAAGAAGAATTAGAAACAGAAAAAGGAGGAGTTAAGGTAGGAGGAAGCAACATTAACAACCTAAGATATGTGGACAACACCATAATATTAACAGAAGATATTCAGGAATTGGAACAGTTAATAAGGAATGTCAAAGATGAAAGTGGGGCAGGTCTGATTCTGAAAATAAAGAAAACAAAAATAGTGACCACAGAAGAAATACACACATTCAATCTAGACAACAAGGAAATTGAAATAGTTAAAGAATTCCCATATCTAGGATCAAACATTGACCAGAATGGAGACTGTAGTCAAGAAATAAGAAGACTAGGAATGGGAGGGGCAGCTATGAAAGAATTAGAAAAGATATTGAAGAGCAAAGACATACAACTGAGCACTAAAGTCAGAATTGTTCAGGCCATTGTATTTCCAATTACCATATATAGATGCAAGAGCTGGATAGTGAAGGAAGCAGACAGAAAGAAAATCAACTCATTTGAAATGTTGTGCTGGAGAAGAATACTTAGGATACCATGGACAGCCAAGAAGAAAACAAATGGGTTCTTGAACAGATCAAACCAGGGCTCTCATTGGAAGCAAAGATGATCAAGTTGAGACCATCGTACTTTGGCCACATAATGAGAAGGCACAGATCACTAGAAAAAACAATAATGCTAGGAATGGTAGAGGGTAGAAGAAAGAGAGGAAGACCACAGACCAGATGGATAGGCTTGATCGGGGCGGGGGGGGGGGAGTTATTGGCAAGGGTTTTCAGGATGCGGGCAAAGCAAGAATATAGGGATTCTTGGAGATGTCTCACCCACAGGGTCACCATGAATCGGAACCAACTGGAAGGCAGCTAACAACAACAAAGGAACAGTACCTTGAATTGTCAGAAGTAATTATTCCTACAAAGTTTCAGCTAGTACTTTAGTTAAGCATTTTACATGAAAATGTTGTTAAAAGTGTAAACAATTACACATTATGCTTCATACTTTGAGAAATGTAATAATTGACAACAGCACTAAGAAAATGCAATTGCTTTTATATTAGAAAAGCAAAGACTGGTACATTGTGCTGTATAGTCACATGAATTTAATATTACTGCAGAATGGTTTGTTTGGGTTTTTATTTTTAAGTTTCTGCTTGATTGCAAATAACCTTAACTGGTCTTTGCTTTTGAGTTCCATTTTATAAGGCCCAATTAAACTACTTATTGGTTCTCATATCATTTTTGATGTTACAGCATCACCTGGTGGAAATTGTAGGAACAGCTATCTAGAGATGGGAAAGTCCAGTTATGCACCAGATAGGGGCCACTCAAGAGCAGATCGCAAATTAACAGTTTTATTCAACAGTAAGATTATAACAGGGAAAACCATTGTAACCAATTGGATGCATCAGCTACTAGAAGTGTTAACTGAAGTTATACTACCCAAAAACTGATTCACATTCATCTGACATGGCAATCCAGGATGGCTAATGCACTGGATATATCTTTGTTGACCACACAATATAGATGTATGCACTTCTGTAAAAGTGGAGCTATACTATATACAATATGACAAACTTGATTTAGAGAATCATAGTAAGGAACCACAGGGGCCATCTCATCAAACCCCATGTCAGGCAGGAATACATAACACTGTCAACCACCTAGTGTATGTTTTGCACACATTTTACCAGCTCATCTGTGAGATTATAATGGAGGACCTTATCAAAAATTTACAAGGATGTCTGGGTTCAGAACAGAATGAGTAATCATTATATTGTTTTTTTGTGCTTTTGTCAGCCTGCTGGTTCAATTAAATAATTTGTGTCAGTGCGAGCAAACATGAAGTAATGAGGTTGTTAGCTTTGGCTATCGCTAACTATCTGACTACCACTAAAATCTATCTTTTAGCTACAAGCCAATGTTTCTTTGGGTTGCATTGTGGTCCCAGAGATTCATAACAGCAGATTTCATTCCGATGTTAGGTAAAATGTCAATGTTCTGGAAAAAACACATGCTCCATAGTAGTATTCCTTCACATACAAGGTACTACATGTTCCCAAGTGCAATGTGAAAACTGTGTATGCAATGCTGCTGTGTAAAATAAAATAAAATAAAATAAAATAAAATAAAAATCTTAAAAGGCTATACTAAACCCAGACAGAATTGATGCCCCTCCATTTCTGTTTTCATTATACTATCTGGTAATATGTGTATGTAGGATGTATGGCTCTCCATATATTATTGGAGTACAGCTCCCATCTGTACTAACTGATTTAGGAGATATGTTAAACCAGGGGTAGGCAAAGTTTCCCCTTTAAGGGCCGAGGGACTTCAGCTCCCAGAATCCCAGGAGCTATTGGCCAACATGGGACTATTGGCCAACATGGCTGAGGCTTCTGGGAGCTGAAGTCCCTCGGCCCTTAAAGGGGAAAGGTTGCCTACCCCTGTGTTAAACTGTCTGAGATCGTCCTTGTGAAGCTGGAGTGTTAACTAGTGTTATACATATTATGTGTGATTTGTGTGGTGCAGTGATTTGAGTGTTGGACTGAGACTCTGGAGACCAGGGTTCAAATCCCAGCTTGGCCATGAAGCCCCCTGAGTGATTTTGGGCAAGTCACACACTCTCAGCCTCAAGGGAAGTCAATGGCAAACCTCCTCTTTTTAATCCTTTCCCATTTCTTTTCATATTGCTGTGATGATTTGCCAGATGCATGCATAGATAACTTATCCATTATTGCTAACTCTCTTAATTTGTTATACCACTCAGATACACTCGGTATTGATTCCAATTTCCACGACCGAGCATAAACTATTCTTGCCGCTGTCACCATGTAAATTACAAGGCTTTTTTTCCTCTTGGCTTAACTTACTCTTAATTTCAGTAAGCATATTAAGCAAATATAATTCTGGTTGTAAAGGTAAGGTTTTCTGTAAAAAAAATTCTCATTCTACTATTAATTTTTTCCAGTAATTTTTGGCTTTTATACATTGCCACACATGTGGAACAATGTCCCTACTTTGGTCTTACATTTCCAGCACAGATTCCCTCTTTTGTTTTTCATTTTTGCAAGTCTAGACGGCAATAAGTACCATCTATAAAAAAAACAAAAAACAAACTTGTAATAGTTTTCTTTCAGTATATTGCACTTTGTAAATTTCAAGGTGTCCTTCCATGACTTTTCCCAATTCTGTAAAGGGATAGGATTCCCTATATTTTGAGTACATTTAACTATATTTGTTTTTACTGATTCTTTGTATAATTCTCGATCTAGTAACAGCTTACATTTTCCCTATCCATTTTTCCATGTAACAACTTAGCAGTTTATCAAAATTGTTAAACTCAATCTCTATTCCTTTTTGTTCCATGTCTTTCTTAAAGTCTTCCTTAAGTTGTAGGGAAATGGTTAAAACAGATTTAGTATAAGAAAGGTAGACTAGATTTTTTTATATGGAATTGATGCAAGACCAAATTAAGCAACCCACATTGTAGTTGGTCTTTTCTAGTTACTTTTGTTCTTTTACCCCTCTTTAAATGGCTATATCCAGGCTATATTGCAGCAGAAAGCACACTGCATATATTATAACACTGGTTAACAACCCTAGCTTCATTAGGATGCTGTCTTAGCCAGTTTAACATATTGCCTTTCTGGTCCTCAGCCTACTGACACAATATTCCAAAATTGCCTCCACCATTCATATGGCCATTCACCCACCCTGTCCTTAGGCAACATTTGTTTTGTACCTCAACAGCCATTGCTAAAACTGAACTTTTCATCTCATCACCATACCCATAGGTTTTGCACTTCTATGGCTAGTCATACAGTCTGGTTATAAAAGTCCTTCCTGGACATGGGCTCGCTCCATGCTTCTGAGGAAGCAGACCAAGTATATGAAAGCTTGCAACTTCTTTTGCACAGTCTCAAAGGTGCTACAAAATCTATTTGCCTACTGGCTTAGTCAGTGTTAAGGATGAATAATGGATGGAGCAGTCCAACAAGATCTGGAAAGACACATGACCTCCACTCTTCGCTCATAGCTTATATCACTTGAATGAATAATTTAGCTAACCTGGAGTGACACACACTTCTATGATGTTTTCCCATGTACATCTTTGAAAAGTCATTATTTAGAAAAATGAAAGTCCAAGGACTAGATAAGCATATATATCCAATATATGAAGGGGAGGAGTATGATTTTCATCTTTCTCCAGTCTCCTGCTTTGAGTATGCTGTCCTCAAGTTACTTACTACCTAAACACTTGAAATATTGCAGCTTTCAAAATACTATATATTATTAATGTTAGAACATTAGCAATACTTTATATTAGAATACACCTTCCCTCTAATAAATAAAAAACAGTTTGCATTGAATGGAACTTCTATGTTTTATTTAGGAAACAGTTATAAAAAAGGAACCATATCTGGTAAAAGGGAATTAGTGATCATTCATTTTTGTCTGCATAGACTTATATGTGTAGAAATGAAAGAGGAAAAATAACATGTGGAAAGATGAGCTGTACATGAATCACCTAACTAGAGGTCTGGTGGCATGGTCAGTAGCCATGATTCTGCTCATTCCTTTTGCCTTGGGATGTTCAAATAGTCTTCTAATACTCTTTAAAAATTAAAAATTAAAATGGTAAACTGAAGGAACAGAGCCTTCCTACTCATCATACAACAATACAACTGTTAGGTGGATTAGTAATTGGTTGACTGACCGAACCCAAAGGGTGCTCAGCAATGGCTCCTCTTCATCCTGGAGAGAAGTGACCAGTGGGGTGCCACAGGGCTCTGTCCTGGGCCCAGTGCTATTCAACATCTTTATCAATGACTTGAATGAAAGAATAGGGGGCATGCTTCTCATGCTTCTTTATCATTTAAACTGTTTTTAGTAGTATGCTTTAATTTTATCATTGTTTAATTCTGTTTTAAGGGGTGGGAGGAT